ATCTGTATTGTGGAAATCCAGATGGCAGAATCAAAGACAAACTCTATTTCTACAGATTCAAGGGTTAGAGTCCAAGTGAGCATATGGATTAGTCCATCACAAGGTTTCTCTCTCCACATACAAACATACACATGGAAGGCCTGGCTAGTCCATGTGGAAGGCCTGGCTTTGATCCCACTGAGTGTTCTGGTGGACTGGTGTAAGGTCCTCAGCGGTTCACTTCCTCAGTACAAAAAAAGCCATCAGTGGTGTCTCTTGACTTTATTTTCTTTTCTGTGGTCTCTCGCAGGACCCTGGTTTGCTTTCCAAGTACCAAAGTCCCCTTCCCATCACCTCTCTCAATCCTCCTGCACATCATCAGATATCCTTCAGATCTTTGTTTAAATATCCTTTCCACCAGATCAGGAGCCTTGCTATGATCACCATAGTTCATCATGCTGGGATGAGGGGTTGGCAGTCTTTCTCTTGTCTGTCTCCCTGACCAGACTGAATGCTCTAGAAGGACAGACACTGCATTTTATTAATCACTGCTGCCTGGGGCCTAGTGCAAGGCCCAGACTGTTTGCTGAGTGGGTGAATGCTCTATAGTATATGGTTGAGCTTGGTGAGGGGAAGATCTTTTATCTTTAGGGTCTCTTAATTCTTCTTCAGGTCTGTCATTGGGAATTCCCATACTCTTCACAAGCATTTCTTCTTCCCTCTGTTACTCCCTTGATAACAGTTCAGTTCATAACATTTAATCAACTACCCTTTGTTATGGTGCTCTGCTGACGGCCACTCCTGATAGCAGTGGGGCCCATTTCAGTGCTGTTTGCTCTTGTGAGTCTGGGCCAGCTCCAGGATATCACTCAATGGACAGCTGTTTGGAATATCCAGGCTCCCTCCTGGCATTCCCTCTTCTTCTGAGGTGGACCAGCAGGAATTGCCAAGGCTTGGGGAGCCTAAGTAGGGAGGGGCTCAGGGAGTCCCTAGGTCACATATGTCCAAAACTCTTGTCTGCCAGCCCTCCTCTGGACCTCAGTTCCTAACCCTAACTCAGATCCTGAAACAGAACCTTCATTTCTTTCATTTCTCTCTCTGTAACTAACTCTAACCCTTCCTCAGCTGAACTTGACATTCTCCCATCACACTACTTGAACCACCTCTGAGCCCCCTACCCTTCTCACCCAAGAATGGCCTCACCTAGTAGTCTTTCAACTCCAAACCTTCACCGACAGCTGGATGAAAAGGCAGCAGCTTCAGCGGCTCCCTGGCTTCTCTGTGACTATGTCCATGTGGTGCCCACATGGTGCCTTGTCTGCCCAGTTTGAGACTTAGCATGTTGTCCATCCCTTGACATTCATGACTCCTGTTCCCAGACCGTTCCTCAGAGGCTTTCTTGGCTATTCCAGGAGGTTGCTGCTCACTCCTGGGGGTCACAGGGGTGAGCCTGGTCTACATGGGGACTTGGGAGAAGTGCTAAAGAGGCTGCTAACTGTGTGTGTGCGCGCGCGCGTGCGTGCGTGCGTGCGTGTGTGTTGGAAAGGGGTGTGTGTGTGTGTGTGTGTGTGTGTGTGTGTTGGAAAGGGTCAAGTTGCAGACCTTGCAGACCTAGGGGCTGGGCGGGGAGATGAGAACCTGAGCCTGGGCTCAGGTGGTCTCAGGGAGAGGTTGGAGGGATAGTTTGGGTAGGGGAGGGCAGGGCCTACAAGGGTTGTGCTGAGTTGCTGTGCAGGGCACTTTGCAGGAAGAGTAGGTGGGTCAAGGCTGCCTCCTGTCCTTCCTCCAAATGTTCTGGGGTCAGGCTGCACCTGGTGTCAGAAGCAGTGTCTGGGCTTCTCTGGGTCCTTGACCTGCTTCTTCCCTTCTCCTGTGTGTCTCTGTTCACTGCTTTCTAAGCCTCTGTTTTTAAGTTTCTGCTTCTGTCTTACACTAGAACAAATACAACCCAAATTGTGGCGTATGCACAAAACGGGCCATTTTCTCCCAGAGAGCTCTAGATTTCTCAGGAAAAGGGAAGGGAGACTTTTGGAAATTTTTGTGGCCTTTTGCCTCCTTTATCTCTCTTTCTCTGAATGAGCCACATTTGGGTGCCACCTGTGTCCCTCTGCTTCTTAGTGATCACTTACTGGGGGCGTAGAGGGCATCCCAGTAGTCTTGGGATGCTGTATAGATCTTCGTGGGACCTAAAAGGGAAGTGGGTGGGGAAATAAAAATTTGGGGTGGAGACGGGGGTGGGGGAAATGAGGGGAAGGAATTGGGGTAGGGGTCTCTTCCTCTGCTGAAGTTGAAGCTCAGAAAGAAACTTGGTCTGGGGGCTGGTCCCAGAGGGAGGCAGCCATGGGCTAGATCTGTGTAATGAAAATTAAGCTGATACGCAGTGCCCTCACTCCACCACTGTCCGCTCAAAACCCTGCAGGGCTCAGGGCACAAGGCAGGAAGCCTGACAGCTTCTTTTATGAGCCCCAAATTGCAAGGAGGTGGCAATTAGCCCTCAGTGGGTCAGAGGAGAGAAACAATGTGCCTTGCCTTTTGAGGCTTGGAGGGGCCCCTGTGTGGTGCCCTCAAAAGTAGCTGTTGTCCTAGGAGTACCTAGGCCCTCAGTCTTCCCCAGCTCCCATCTCTTCGACTCCAAAACCAGGAAACAACCCCAATAAAACTACTTCTGATGGACCCCATCTACTAGTTCACTGTGGTGTCAGAGCCTCACTCACTGCAAATAGTTTCCTGTATCCCCTCCCCAAATCCCTTTCTAGGAGGTTAATCATTGGTGAACTGAGGTTGTGCAACAGGTCTTCAGAGATTACATTTGTCATTGGATTAAGTTGCTTCATACCTGTCAAATCCATGTTCTAACCCTAGCCACAGTCTATTCTATCTCAGACCCCAAACTCAATTCTAACCTGGCTGTAATCCCAATTCTAAATCAGTCTCCATCCAGCCTTTGATTGAGCTGTAACTGCATTCTCAACCATAGCTTTAAATTAAACTAAAACCCTGTTCCTTATCATAACATGGATTCTGGCCATCATAGGTAGCCTCAGTTCTAGTTGTTATGCTAACCTTAATCTCCACCTTAATTCCAATCTCAACCTCAAATCTGACCTCAACGTCATTCATTATTCCAACTAATCCCAACCCTTACCCCAGCCTTAATCCAGCCTTCATCTCATCTCTAACATTGGCTGAAATCCAGAACCCAATGAAACTCCAACCCTACACTTCAAGTTAATGCAGTGGCTGTCTTACTCCTTTCTTTTCAGTCTCCCTCTTCCTGGTCCCACCTATTGTCCCCATCACCCATCACTGACCTTCCATGCTTTATACCCTTGAGTGGGTCTAGCAACCTGTAAGGTCATCAAGCCCTTTTTCTTGGACCACTCTGGATCACAAATCAAGATGCTTGGGTGTCCCCCAATTAGGCCCCAGCAGCATCACCTGAACAGAGTTCGCACGTTTTCTCCAGGCTTCTGTTCCCATTTTTAAAAGTGGGGATAATGATCCCTGCTTTTCAGAGTGTTCAGGGAAATCCTATAAACCTCAAAATAAATAAGGAAATGAGGATATTCATTGTGTACATCTGGTGGGTCCCGGAGAACCCTGTTATTGTTGGGGGTGTGGGTGGAGGGGTTTGGAATGCAGTGATGCATGAGTTCCTTGTGCTTCCTTATTGTTCTGTCTTATTTTTCCTGGAGGGGTAGGCCCTGGCAGTATCCCTGAGTCTCATAACCCTTCCCAAGATTCTTCCTCCCGTCCTTCCTGTGCCCCCTGTTAGGGGTGGGCTGTTGAACAGGGTTACTCATGACCTGACCCACCTCTCCTAAAGCCCATGGGAGGCCCTGTGCCTGTTTTGGGACCCCTCCCCCAGACCATCCAGCAAGAGTTGTACCCCACTTTCCCCCTCTGCCCACCAGGAAAATCCCACCCCAGCTCTAACCGACCCAGACGTTGCTGGTTTATGCCCCGGTGAACAGTCCAGATGATGAAGGTCCTTGGTCTTCCTTCTTGTGTAAAGCAATGATACCAAACAGTTCCTAAAAGAAATGCACAGGGGGATTAGTCCTCCTCAGTAGAGATATAGCACATCCCAGTGAATGGGCACATACCTGTATAGGCACACTCCCTTCCCTGGCCCTCTTGGTGATATTCTCCTCTACATCCCCTCACTAACCCATTTACTTGCTGTGCTCCCTCCACATATCCTGGTCCTTCTCTCTCCAGGCCTCACAGAACTGGTTTTAGTTCTGTGTGGGAGGTTGGGCTGGATTCCTATAACACCCCCAGCTCCCAGGGATCCCCTACATTCAAGGATGACCTTGCATAAGGTATGGGTTGGTGTATAGCTCCAGAGGGGCAGTCAGGAGAACACCCTGATCACAAACACACCCCTTCCCTCCCTCATTTAGTTCAGGAGGGCTTACTCCCTTTGAAGGGCCAGAGGCCTCAGGTGAAAGGCAGGTTGGGCATTCCTGGGTTCTTTTCATCTGCCTGGGCCTTTCCTCCAGCCCTAGTATCCCCTTTCTTGGTGCTCCTCCCCACAGACCTTGGCCTGGGGTGGGGGGCCATCTGCCAGTGGATCAGGAATAGGAGGGGGCAGGATTTGTAAAGTGTGTCAGACCCCTGTATCCTGGGGTTAGTGTTAACCCTTCAAGTCTTGGACACCATCCTTCTCAAGCCTGGCTTCTCCTTCCCCTTCCATTTCCCCTGGGGTAGAAGGCAACAAACCCAAGTGGTGAGAGAAGCTCCATGGATATCATAAAATGGGTGACTATTATCACCTGAGGAGGACAGGGCCAGGAGGAAGTGGAAGTTTAACCGGTGCCTAATTATAAGTCCCACTGGAAGTCCTGCCTCACTCTCTGGATAGGGAAGAGCTTGGGTGATGGCTGGGTAATGCCTGAGTAGGCCATTCTGTCACCCTGATAATTAGGGTTTTTGGGACTCCTCCCCAAGGCGGGGACCGGGCCCCCTCCCTTCCATAGAAATAACTCTGGCGGCTCCCCAGCCAGGCACTCATTGCACCTTCTTGCCACCCTGGGCAGTGTCTGGGCCCTCAGCTCCCCCTCCTTCTATCCATTCTCACAAACGCACTACCACCGGCCCCAGTCCGGCCCCACAGCCACCAGCCCGGGATACTCAGCCCAGGCGGAGGAAACACCGAGCCTAGAGACATGGGAGTTCGAGGAGCATTCCACCTTCTACTCGTGTGCCTGAGCCCAGGTACGGGGCTGGGCAGCAGGCAGAGATGGCTGCACAATTCTAGATGGCGGAGAAAAGGGCAGCAAGGGGCACACAGAAGAGCCTTGGCAGTTGTCTGAGATGCCCTGGCAGAGTGCAGCACACTCTCACCATGCTGCCATCCAGGTTTGGATATTGCCAGGGACCTCTCCTCAGGAGAGCCCCATGCCTGAAATTTTGGGGCAGAGGTCTTTGATGGTCCCTCATTGTGGGGCTCACGTATGCACACATGTGCTGCGACTGGGAGTACAGGGTTGTGGGAACTGGGAGTGGGGTGGATAATCAGGTGAGCAGCAAAGCTGAGTGGGAACTGAGGAGGAGTCTGGTAAGGAGCCCTTTTCACCAATGTGTGTACTATTCCAGCAGGGGGGCCCCACACCCCCAGGCCAGAGCCCAGGGCAGGGAGCTGCCTCCAGAGGGCAGAGCCTCTGGCTAATACGGCCAGCACTGCCAGTTAAGAGTTCTGACCTGAGGCCTCCACTCCAGGCCCCTGAGTTATGAGAGTTCCAAGGTAGCGTTCACCATCCAGGACGATGGGTTCAGCACCCCACTGGGGCACGCATTAAGGTTGGATGCTGTGGCTACCTGCCCAGGTTGGGACAAGTCTCAGTAAGGGCCACTCTATGTGGATATTGCTGGAAATGCTCTGAGACCCACCCTGGGGTCTGAGTTGGGGGGTGAGAGAGTGTGGGGGAGGAGCTAATGATGGGGGAAGTATTTTTAGCCTGTGTGTGTGTGTGTGTGTGTGTGTGTGTGAATGACCGAGTTTCCATCAGAATGTCTGTAGTGCCCTTTGTCTCTGGCAGAGCCCATACAGGAAGTTCCAGCTTTGCTATAGGAACCTGGGATATCTTCATGTCTGGTGTGTGTCCTGGGTGTGTGTTGTGTGTATTTATGCACCAGTACCCTCTTGTGGGGGCTGCCTTTTCTCCCCTCCCTTCCCTTCTCCTTCCTCCTTCCTCACCTCCAGAGAGAGAGGTAGGAGCTCTGAAAGCAGCCTGAAACTTCACAAAGGATTTGCAAGTTGAGGATAGACAGTACTATTGAGGCAACATGCACAGAGAGTGTGCAGCCCCTGGTATTTTTTGTAGGGAGACAATTAGTCACTACTGCCTCCTTCCTTGGAGCCCACTGTGATTTCCTTTCCTTTCTCCAAATCCCCTTGCCCAGTGCTCTCTTCCATTTTCATTTTCTTCCCTTTCTCCAGTCTCTCTTCTCTCACATTCCCTCAGTGCCACAGCAAGGGAAATCAGGGTGAGACACCAGGAAGAACTTCCCCAGAAGAGTGAAGGAATGGAGAAAGGCTGAAGTCCTTAGGAAGAGGTTGAGAAAGCTTCTAGGAAGAGTGAACGGCTAGGGTGAAGCCCCTTAGCCTGGGACAATGGAAGACACCCAACCTAGTGCCGTTTGCTCTGCCTTCCCAAACCCCTTTCCCTGAATACTTACCCTCTTGCTGGCTGGCCCCCAGGTGTAGAGAAGATCCCTCTTTTTGTGGCTTGCTTCTCAGAGTCCTTCCTTAGGGTGGAGCCTCTGCTCTCTGCTCAGCTCTGGCTCATCCCTGGCATGCCTTGTACCGCCCCAGGATCTGGCAGATGGCATCAGGATCCTTATCTTAGAAATGAGCTGATATTCTCTTGGCCTGCAGCTGGAGGAGACATAACCAGGTCCCGTTAGAGGTCCAGCAGCTAGCCTGCATGCTCTGAGTACCCCTGGAGCCTAGTGGGGTTAGGGCATGGCTGGTGGCCTAGCCAGAGTTTTGAGGGGCAAGTTCAGTGATGCCTGAGCTATTGGGCATGTTGGAAGAGTGCCACCAGGTTCTTTAGAACCACAGTAAGCTGCTGCAGGTATGTCTGGCCTTGAATGAGCATACATGGACAATATAGTGTGTAGTGGGTGTGCCATCTGGATTACTTTGGATTTGTGTTTGTGTGCAGATGTCTGTCTGTGTGGATCTGATAGTATTTGTGTGCAGGAAGGTGGACTGCATAAGTATGAACCTGCATTTGGAGGGCTTGTAGAGTGTGTCTATGTGTTTATGTGTTTGGTTGTGACAGAGCGTAATTGTGTGTATGAGATGCTCTCTAAGTGTAAAGGTGATCTCAAGAGAGAGCCAGAGGAGGGCAGAGCAGAATGAGTTGCTGAGACCAGGTGCTGAGACTCCAAAGGACTTGCTGCTTCTCAACAAAGAAAACAGGAGAGTGAGCCAGGCTAGACAAAGGGGCCTGGGGTGGGAGGGGTGCAGGAGATTGGGAAGCAGAGCCTACCTGCCCTGTCTGCCAAGGTTGGGGCCTTGGACACGCCCCCCTCTATTTCTCCCTAGGTCCAACTTGTTGGGGCTAGTGCTTGCCTGGGGCTTCCGAATAGGGAGGGAGAGGAGCTCAGAGCTGAGTTTCCAGATGCCAGGTCCTCACCCAGGTTGACTCAATGGAGCAGGATGGCAGCAACAGGAGGGGCCACAATTGGAGTGAGCATATGAGGGCAGCCAACTTGAACCATACAATCACACAAGGGCAGGACACAAAGTACACACTACTACATGTCATCACGCGAGGCTCACATTGTCCTATAGATACATGTGGTGACAGTCACAGGTATATACAATCATTTACTGTCACATGTAAATACAGCCCGGTCACAGCTGCCTCCTGTAATCCACAGGCATGCCCCATCACTCAGAACACTGGCATAGCCAGGTACCTGGTGTCACACACAGACATACAGCCACAGACATGCGCTGTCATACACAAGACACACAAACACCTCCAGTCTTCCATTCCTTAGGTTGGGAAGGGACCCCAGAGGTCAGAATATCCATCTTCCTGCCTTCAGATAGGAGTGCCTCACTTGGCCCAGACAGAGGCAGCCTTTAACCATCCAGGCTCCTCTATCGGAGCATTTAACAGCTCTGTGTGCTCCATGTGTACACTGTGTACACATACACACACACACAGAATTATGTAAATATAAAAGCAGACACCCTACCTAATTATGGCATGAGTATCCTTACAGTACACACAAGCAGCCACACTCAACACACATGTACACATGTGTACACATATGTGCACACACAATCACACATACATATAAGCATAACTAACAACTGTATACACACACACACACAGAGGATTGAGATGCAATCCTACACATTATAGAATATAAATGTGCATACATAAGTGTGCACAGACTTGTATATACTGTTTTATGTACATACGCAGACACACACTCAGAGCAGCCCCTCCTTTCTGTTGGACCCCCACTGGGCCTGGATTGCTTCTTATACAGAGGGAGGGAGAGAGGGAGAGAGGGAGAGGCTAAAGTTGACCACCCAAGTTCTGATTCTGTTCCCCTCATCCTACCTATTCTACCCTTCCCCTAGTACTGGTGTCCTCTGTGCGGATCAGTGGTGATGGCCAGGAGATCTTGTACCTGGCAGAAGGTGACAATGTGAGATTGGGCTGCCCCTATGTTTTGGACCCTGAGGACTACGGCCCCAGTGGGCTGGACATCGAGTGGATGCAGGTCAATTCAGACCCTTCACCTAGGGAGAATGTGGTGAGTGCTGGGCACATGGTTCCCCGTACCCTATACTACATGGTCTACCTGGTGGGCAGCCAATGCTCTGAGGGTAGAAGATAATAAAACCAAGTTCTTGAAATTCCTCCAAGGCTCTCATGGAATGCAGCAAGGGCTATGAGAGCTCTGCAATCACTCCAAAGGGGTGGCACCTGCCTTCAAGAAGTTCCTAGCCTGACCTTATTCTTTCCAAAGAACTTGATCTTATCTGATCCCACCCATTTTGTAAGAGGTCAGTGGACCAGGCATCATCATTCCCATTTTTCAGCTGAGAAAAGAGAGTATCAAAAGTTGAGTGAATTGCCCAAGGGAACTAATCCACATGGCCCTCCTTCGTTCTGCCTGTCTGACCACCTCTTTTTTTTTTTTTTTCTCTTCTTCACAGTTTCTTAGTTACCAGGACAAGAGGATTAACCATGGCAACCTCCCCCACTTGCAGCAGAGGGTCCGCTTTGCAGCCTCAGACCCCAGCCAGTATGATGCCTCGATCAATCTCATGAACCTACAGGTATCTGACACAGCTACTTATGAATGCCGGGTGAAGAAGACCACCATGGCAACTCGGAAGGTCATTGTTACCGTCCAAGGTATGGCCAGTCTCCTCTGGGCTCTCCTTCCCCAGACTTCAGAGTCAAGAGCAGCTTGGACACACTGAGGTTGGCTCTGCCTCTTGACTGAACCTGTTTCACAATTGTCTGTTTCTCTGCAGCTCGGCCTGCAGTGCCTGTGTGCTGGACTGAGGGCCACATGGCACACGGCAATGATGTGGTGCTGAAGTGCTTTGCCAATGGGGGCACCCCGCCTCTTTCATACAAGTGGGCCAAGATCAGTGGACACATCCACCCCTACCGTGCAGGGTCCTATCATTCCCAGCACAGTTTCCACTCTGAGCTGTCCTACCAGGAGTCCTTCCACAGCTCCATAAATCAAGGTGAGGGGGCCCAGGGAGAACGGGGAGAGATGAGTGGAAGATCGGGGCTTTGGAACCTGCTGGGGCTTCCCTGAGTCATCAGTGGCACCAAGTCAAACCTATAACCTCTGTGGGAGATGCCTTTCTTGAGCCTGTTTCAGAAATTGCTATTGAGAGAAGAGGAGGCAAAGGGGTGAGGGAGGGTCAGCCAAAAGCAGTATGATTAATTTAGAAAGAGCATGGTCTGAGATAGATAGCTGGGCTTGAATTCTGGCTGGACTTCTAACTGGCTACAAGATACAGGTAAATGGCTTAACCTCTCTGTGCCTTGGTTCATCATGTATGAAAAGGGAATAAGAATACTATCTTCCAGGGGTCTATGAGGATTAAATGGGGGTGAAGTGTGCAAAGCTGCCAGCATGCAGAGAAGCTGACTAGTACTCAAAATCCAACCAGGACAATCAGAGCTGGAGGGAGCCTTAGAATTCCTCTGATCTAACCCTATCTTCATTGTACAAAGGAGACCAAGGCTGAGAGAAGGAACATATTTATCTAAGGTGACAGAGTGAGTAAATGGTGTCTCTGTCTTGTTGCTGGCAGGGGGGTCCTTCCTTGCCTCTCTGTTTCTGCAGGGGGAAGGTGACTCACACCTGGAGTGTGGAGTGGACCTGGGTGTGTATGTGCACACACCATCTCTCCTTCCATCCCCCACCCTGCAGTGCCTGAGGTTGGGTTGGGGCTCTGAGATATCCAGGCCCCTCTGCCTCACTACAAGCTGTGTTGCAACCTCAGTTTCAGGCCTCTTGAACAATGGTGACCTGGTGTTGAAGGATATCTCCCGTGAGGATGATGGGCTGTACCAGTGCACAGTGGCCAACCACGTGGGCTACAGCGTATGTGTGGTGGAGGTGAAGGCCTCAGGTAGGTGTAGTGGCCTTGGGGGCCCTGTAGCTGGACTGGGGGAACCAGAGCTGTGTTTTGGAGCCTCAGCTGGCTCTGCCTGCCTGTTGCATCGAGTATACGCCTTGGCCTAGGACAGCTGGGAAGGACTGGGGGTAATATGCAAACATAAGGGATTAACAAGTTAACCTTGCATCTCCCCATATCTTCCTCACTGGCTGTCCCAGGGCCCTGAGCCCCTCTTTTTCACAGATGCTCTGCCCTGCCACCCCCTGGTTAGTCAGGTACCTGTCCAGCTGCAGAGATCCTGACTGGCCTCTCCTTCCCTCCACAGACTCCCGGCGTGTCGGCATGATCATCGGAGCAGTGCTGGGCTCTTTGCTCCTGCTGGGTTGTCTGCTGGTGGGCATCTGGGGGCTCATCTGCTGCTGCTGTGGGGGAGCTGGGGCCAGCTGTGCCCGTGGTGCCTTCAGCTATGGCAACGGCAGCGGAGGGGCCTGTGGAGACTTGGCTAATGAGATCAGGTAAAACCTGATGCATGCTGCATGCTGCTGTGCAACAGGGGACCAGCACCCTGCCCCTCCTCACTCCTACCAGCCATCCCAACCTTGCCTACCATCGCCACGGAGTGCTGGCACCACAGCATGTTGGCATGCCACTCGTCGCATGGCTTTTCTTTCCCCCCTTCTCATGCTCAGTCTTCAGCTCTGCTCAAGTGCCCCCATCTTCCTCTGTGCACCCCTCTCTGTCTTGTCTAGACTGTAAGCTCCTGGAGGGCAGGGCCTGTATCCTTCCACTTTTCCCCTGTATTGAGCTGGTAAGAATGCTGCACATGTTTATTTAAGAAGAGTTAAGAATAGTGCTAAAAACTTAGAAACAAACTAGAAATAAAAATAGAACAAGATTTGTAGTGCTAATGATTGTAAATACTCTGGGGATGGAGGAAAAGATGAAGATTGAGGAGCAGGAGGTGAGAAGAAAGGGAAAGATGGCAAGGATAAGGTTAGTTAAGAAAAGGACCCGAAAGCCGCTCCTTCTGGATCTCCAAGGTTCCCTTCGTGTTAAAGTCGGCGGAAAACATCCAAAGGGTGCTGGAGAGCGCCTAGATGGGGCTGCCTGCATTGGGCTGTCGGACACGTGTGGACAAGCCCTGTCTGCATGACAGGAATGGCCCAGGGCCGCTGTGGTGTCTCCGGTCTAGGAAGAAGCAGAGAGGAGAGTTGGTGGGGCAAGGAGGCGCCAGGGGAGGGGGCGCGGGAGCCGAGAGGTAGCCGACAGCCACCCGACAGCCACGGCTCTGCCAGGCCATCCTACGCCACGTCGCCTAGCAGTCGGCTCACCCGCCTGCTTGTTGTCTCCACAGAGAGGACGCCGTGGCGCCCGGGTGCAAGGCCAGTGGGCACGGCAGCCGCGTCACCCACCTGCTGGGGTACCCGACGCAGACCGTCAGCCGCTCCCTGCGCCGCAAGTATGCGCCTCCGCCCAGCGGCGGCCCGGAGGACGTGGTCCTGGCGCCCCGCACAGCTGCCGCCGCCTGCGAAGCAGGCCCTTCCCCGGTCTACGTCAAAGTCACCAGCACCGAGCCCGCCGACTGCGCCCAGGGGTTACTGCCGGGCAAGGACGGCCTGTTGGTGTGAGCTCGCGTGCCCTCTGGGCTGCGCTCCTGCCAGAAAAGGGTGCGGGCTCCCTGCTGGGGACACACTCGGGCTGCTCAGACCCCACCTGCCCCAGGCCACCTGGAGACTGCAGACTGAAGGCATTTCCCTTGGGAAATGAGTGGGGAGGCACAGCCTTGTCCCCAAAGTGGGAGGGGGCAGGGCGGGCAGAGAAAATCCACCTGGAACCCTCTCTGCAACCCCTGGGAGCCCCCGAGGCTACCGGAGGAGGAGGACGTGCCTGAGAGAGACTGAGGCCGGATGCCCGGTGTCCCCAGCCAAGGAAGAGGTCCCCGGGGCTGGGCGGGTGTGGGTCTGGCCTTAACTTCTGCGTGTGAGATCTGAGCTCTGAGGCGGCATTTTTTTTTTTTTTTTAGCACAATAAAGAAACTGTAAGACACGAGACAGGTGTCTGTGGTTCCACGGAGAGTTGGGCATGGGGTCAAGTGGAGTTTCTGCTTCGGTGTGAGGGACGTTGCTCTCTGCTGTCCTGCACCATTCCTGCATCATTTCCTCTTTAGGTGGGGAGCAGTAAGAGCTGGAAGGGGCTATCTAATCCTATTCCATCACTACACAGATGGGGATACTGAGACCCCTCAGGCTGGATATAAAATCCAGACTCCCGCTTTTCTCTTTTATTATCGTCAGAAGTGGGGAAATGAGAGGCTGCCAGGGATGATCTCTCTGAATGTTTCCAGACTGTTCTCCACATCCTTCTTTCTCCTGCCCTCATCTACCCAGTTCTGACTTCCTTAGCTCCCCCAGATGTATGCTTTCCCTTTCAACAACTAAGAAGGGTTTCAGAATCATATTCTGGGGTAGGAAGACCTTCAAGTTCCTCCAACTGGCCCCCCTTTTAATGGAAAGGAGGTCGACATTTTATTAGGCACCCAGTAAGTGCCAGGTGCTTTCTGATATTTTGTCTTATTTAATCCTTACTTAAGTCCTATAAAGTTGTGCATTATCCCATTACACAGATGAGGAAACTCAGGCTCAGAGGGATTAGGCATGTTGACCAAGGCCACACAGATAATAATTCGTTTTGATCTAGGCGTGTTTGACTATAGAACATTAGGCTGTTTTTATGATATTTGAATTCTTTCTACAGCATTCCTGACAAAGGCTATTCCAACCTCTTCTTGAATGTTACCAGTGGCATCACTGTACCTCCCAATGTAGTCTATTCAATCTCTAACTATCAGAGATATGTTCCTTCTATTGAATACAGTTTTGGTCCCCATAGAACTTTTATTCCTTGGTCCAGATTCTACTCTTAGGGAACCCTCAACATCACATTTCCAATTTCACTAATGGACCAAATGGCTGTACTACATTCAAGATAGCTGCAACAGGCACACAACTGTACCTGTGGCTGGTCTAGGGATTGAGGGTCTTCTGAGGAGCATGCATTGGTCCTTCATAGCCACTCTGTTCTACCTATCTTTGCCCAGCCACCTGCTAGTTGAGAGCCCAGGCACTTCCTTTTTTCTTTGCCTCTTTTCCTGTTGAAGCAAAACAGGGCTTCTTAATTCTTCCTGCTCCTACCCTCGGGCCACATGAAGCATGGGTACAGATGGACCTCAAAGTATCTAGGTTTCAAGTTTCTTAACTGAGGAAGCCCAGAAACTCTGCTTGGTTATAATAACTAGAAGGCCCTTCTGGTTGGCTTGAGTATTTGCAAAAGAGTGATGGCATTGCTGGTTCTGCCTTGACAGACCTGGGGAATGAAAAAGAGAAATGGTGGCACAGATGGAGCCAGAGACAAATGTTTTGATGGGGGGGAAGTGGGAGGTTCTTAGAGGTAGGTGGGAATACAGGGGGTGAAGGGATTAAACAGTGAGGGAAGCAGAGAACTGCAGGAACCATCGATCCCTTCATTTATTTGCACATACTTACATATACCTGTAGGATGAATTGTTGGATAGAGTTTGACTTTTGGCAGGGCACTGGGCCTGGCACACGTTTGTTCTAAGACAAAGGACAGACTAGGGTGACTTGGGGAGGGCCCTCCCAGTCTGAGGATCCTCCAGCTCAGCCTGTTGCAGGGTCGTAGGAGAAGCAGGCAGCCAGATGGACGTATGTACAGGTTGTGTTAAATGACATCACCTTCCCCATTCCAGGAATCAGGAAGCCATTCTCAGACTTAGCTTTCATTTAAAGGGTGAGAACAGTGAGGCTCTGGCAAAACAAACAAACAAATAAACTCATTAAAAAACAGCAAGAGAGATTTTAAAGAGACTCCGGAAACAACTTCCTGTTAGGGTGACTCAGCAGGGACTCCACGGAAGTTCCTCCATCCCAGGCTGGATGGCAGTCATCATTACTGCAATCACCACTGCTGGGTGAGCAAGGAGGGAAGTCTCTGTCCCTAGGATTTTGCTTTAGGGACCCCTTAGTTGTTTGCCATTTTTGCTGCATGAAACCTTGTCAGAGTTGGAGGGGAACATTTGCAGTAGTAAATGTTTAACAATGAGTTCGGGAGCGGCGGTGGTGTGTAAGAGTCAGGGAAGCCTTGATTTATACCATTTGCCATTTCTGTGATGTAGATCTTCCTACCATGACTGATTTGAGGCTACTAACATGATGTTTCTGGCATGGAGTCAGGAGAATGAGCAGTAACATCCCACTGTAGAGTATTTCCACGGTACAGATCTCATAGAAGTTGATAACCTCAAGAGGTAAGACAAGAATGAACTATAGTAAAATAATTAGGAAGTGATGTTTTGAGTACTGATCTCCTTTGTTTTATATAACTCATTTAATTGTAAGTATATATAATTTAAATTTCAATAATGGCTGCATTTAACAACTGGCTTGCAAAACTTAGGTGGATCATATCACCAGGCCATAAGAAGGCTGAGTGCACATATGCTGCTTCAAAAGAGGGGATCTTAAGTACAGCCCTGATTTTTCTGGGTTTTTTTTTTTTCATAGAGACACAAACAGCACAAAGTCAGTTGTCTTCATTCTACTTCCCAGTTTGATTTTATGTCTCTCCTTAATTTTATTGGAGCTGAATTCTGGTTCCTCTGGTCACTGAAAAATTATTCAGGTAGTTGTATGTCCTTGGTAACCACCAGAAACCTAACTTGGCATCCAGCCCTGGGAAATCTATTCAAGAAACATTGAGTTCTTCCTGACTCAGGTTCATCTCTGATCTCTTCCTCAGGTTTTAGGAAGTCATCTTCTAGTCATCTTCTCTTAAGCCCCAAATCCTGAAGACCATGAGTAAATGGAGTCCCAGTGATTTTCTTTCTATGTGTTGCTATTAGCATGCTTGCTTCCCAATTACATTTCAGTTATTCTAGGCTCAGTCAAACTGAAGTGAGCCTGGGAAGGAATAAATATGTTTTCCTGACTCACTGGAAACAAAGGAGTTTTGAGAATTTTCCAGTCATTGCTTAGGCAGTGGCCTGTCTGGATCTGAACTTTAGACCTGTTCTCTGTGCTTCCCCAGGGAATCCTCCTGGTGAGAGCCCAGGACACCCTTGCTCTGGAGTTTTCACCGCATCCAGCGAGTCCATCTGGAGTAATCATTTCATTTATTCCTGTGTATGGAAACAAAGCTGATTCCATTCAGTTCCTTGTAGTGAGGTTAGGAAGAGGATACTGAAGGGGGAGTGTTGAGACATGCAGGATCCATGCTGGCAAGGCAGGGTGAGTGGCTGCTTTGGGAAATCTGAAAGAGCTTGGGTGTGGTCACTGTGTTTTTCAGTGGACGGTGGACAAGATAACCTTTTGCCACCCCTCTGTGGCCATTGCCCTTAGCAGTCTTCTTGTATGCATTTTGAAAGGAGAGGAGGATGGAACACTGAGCATGCAAGGAGACTGAAACCCTTGACAATGCAGGAAATTGAGCAGAAGAGCATGGGGTGATATTGCCAAGCTCTTTTTACAGGGACTGAGTATGAGGTGATGTGGGGCCCATACAGGTGTCTTGGGGAGAAAAGAAGGGAGGGAGGGAAGAAATTTGTAGTAGATGTTTGCAAGTTAGTCATGACCACATGTGCAAAGAAAAAGGCCTCAGTTTTGGAGTTAGAAAAACCTGAGTTTGAAGTTATTTCATAAGCTCCCAAAGCCTTGATGTCTTAATCTAAAAAAATGGAATAGTAATAGGACTGTTTTGTGTTTGAAGTGCTTGTTATAGAGTCTGGTACATGGTAGGGACTCTGTAAATGCTTGATCCCCACAAAGTGGCAGGCATGGAGGCAAAGATCTAAAACACAAAGATTGGGGTGGAGGCTGAGGCAATTAAGGTCCACGGAGAGGGGCATGGAGCAAGGAGAATAAAGTCTTGGGAGTGATTTTGGAGATGGCTCACCATGTGAGGAAGGAGACAAGAAACACAGGAAGCAGCAAGTAGAAAAGCAGAACGTGGCCTTGCCTTGGAGTCCTGGAATCCACGTGCATGTGTTAATATTGACAGCAATCCTCATTACTAATAGTGATATTAGTAAGAACTGGACTCCCCTGAAACACAAGTTTAGCAGGATCCCTGAGTCAGGCCTGGCTGGGAACAGGCTGCCAGAATTCTAAGAGCAACCTCCCTGAACCAGGGCTTGGCCTCCTGTGCCGTTTCTCATCTACCTGCTCTTAGCTTCTGGCACTAAGGCTACCTGCTGTTGCCCTCTGGGCCTGGTACCCACTGTGATATTCCTGGATCATTGACCTTGACAGCACCTCCCAGGTGTATACTCCCTCCTGAAGGATCTCCATATGCTAGCTCTTCCAAAGCTGAGGAGGGACCCTCTCAACAGGGGGCACATACTTTTAGGGGAGAATTATCTCAGTCTTGGAACTGAGCTCCTTCAGCTCACTACAGGACTCACTTCCTTCCTGTCTCTCACAGACACCCCTGTGCCTGTGTCCATCCCCTTACTCTTGCCTGGATGCTATCCTAAGCCTTGTGGCCCCTTCCTGCCAGTTATTCTCCTGAACTGGCTCCAGAGCTCTTCAAATGCTGGGATTCAACTCCAATCCTG